TTTTTTTAAATCTCAAGAGCCCTGGGACTTGGATAACTGACAAAGTTTCTGTTTTTACATTGGTTACTAGAAATTTGAGAGCCAAATGTGTGGCTCACTCCTGGTGGATGAGTAGGTCATAATGGTATGCATCTTAAACCTTATTCATAGCTCTGTTTTGTCCCCACCCTTGTTTTTTGTTCCTTTCTTCATTTTCTTCTATTTCTCAAAATAATATTTTATAATTTTTGATATTTTTCTCTGCAACATGAAAAGGAATAGCTAAATATGTTAGATACCATGAAAATTATGTTTACTATGCAAATATTCATATGTACATTCATAGATGAATATTAGGAGGGAAATAAAGATGTTCTATTAAAAATGGTAATGTTATGGCTAAAGTTTTTCTTTGATTTTCCAAACTTCTTGAAATTGTATTTATAATTTAGGGAGAAAAAGTTATTTGAACTTTGAAAGCTCTAGTTATTTATTCTAGAGGTAGAAGAAGTGTGGAAATTATGTGCATGACCCCATGCAATGTACTTCATTTGATTATGTTAAGGCAAATGGGGAACTGTCATAAACTAAGGTTGGAATGGTTGGTGAGCACCAAATTTCAAGGGCCACGAAGTGCTATTCTAAGGGGTTTTATTATTGCCAGTGGAAAGATGTAAGCAGTTTTCAGGTTTTAACTGAAGTGCGTAATTGAAAGGTAACTACGAACTATATGAGTATAGTTGAAAGAGTAGAACATGAGAAGTCTTCAGGCAAGGAAACCAGTAAGGAGGCTTATTAGTATAGGGAGGGAGGTTGATAAAGACTCCAGTGAGTTAGAACAGGGAGACAGTGGCTGCAAGCAGATTTGACAGGTTAGAAATTGGTATGGGGGAAGAAATAGAACATCCCCAAGGTATGTTTTCAACTTTAAGTGAACTGGTTGGTATTGGTATTATTCAACATAAGAGAGAATTTAGGAGAATTGGATATTTGGCATTAATTTTGGGGGGAGTAAAGAGAACTAGAGGGAAGAAAGGAAATGAAATCATTAATGGACCTATTGGATTTGAGGTGCTTATAAGACACACTGATAGAGATGTAGCTCCAAGTGTTCAGAAATACAATACAGACCTGGAACTCTGGACAGAAGTCCGGCTTAAATATTGTAGGAGTGTGTAGAGGTGGAAAGGGAGAATCGATACCAGACATCCATCTTTCCATGTGATCCTGGTTAGCCCTTTTCCTATTTCCCAAGTAAGATATTCTAAACCTATTGAGACAATAGTCATCAATGACCTCTAAAATGCCAAATCCAGTGGATGCTTTTCAGTCCTCGTTTTATAGGTATCCCCTTATAGCCTTTTGTCCAGATTGACTATTCTCATTCTTTTTTCTTGATCTTGTAATTTTTGATTCTTCTACTTTTTGGTCCCTTTCACTGGCTTTCATTTTTTTTTTACCAGCTTTATTGTTGTGTTCCTGAGAGTTCCCCCTTCACACACTCTCCCCAACTTATAGAGCGAAGGCTTCAAGTAGAGGAGTTTTGGAAAGAACATAAATTTGCTGAATGTGTAAAGTTTGAAAAGCCTGTTAGACATCCAATTGGATTGTGTTGAGTAAGCATTTAGATACATGAGTAAAGAGTTTAAGGGGAAAAATCTGGACTGGAATGTAAATTTAGGAGTCATTAACCTATAGATGGTATCTAAGCCTAAACGAACAAACAAACAAACAACAAACAAAAACAAAACAAAAAAAACCCTAGTTGGGTCCATCCACCAGGAAGGAATTGGTGAAGAATGAAGAGATATCCAAGGACAGTGTCTGCACATTTTAGGGGCAGATAAATGAGAAGAATCCAGCAAAAGAGGCTGAGAAAAATCACTGGCAAGACAGGAAGAGAACTAAGAGAAAGTGGTGTTCAGGAGGCAAGTGAGAAAAAGGTTTTAAAGAGGAAGAAATGGACCATCCTACTAATTTCCTGTGAAGTTGATTGAAATGAAGATTGAGAATTGCCCTCTGGATTTGGCAATAGAGATGTTATTGTTGACCTTGAAAATAATTGTGGTGGATGGTGGAATGGTTAAGAGGGAAACCTTGATTAGAGTGGGAATTGGTGGGGCTGATTCCCCTTAGAAGATTACAACAGGAAAGAGCAGCGGTATTAAAATGAAAACAATAAATTGGTTGAGATAGAACAAAAGAGCAGGAAAGCTATTATATAAATATATGACCATTCATAATCATGAATATTGATGCCTGGCTAACACTGAAAAAAAAGTCAAATTCTAAAGTTTTGACCCCTTTGAATTTATTCCCAATTCATTTTAATATTAGACCTTGTTGCGATTATGTGCTATCGTTTCTCAGTACCACGGTCATGAGAGAGGTAAAGGTGGAAACAGTAAATGTTTCTGTTTCATCTGATGAAGGAAAGAATGAAGATAGGAAAATAGCTAAAAGGAAATGTAAGGTTGTAAAAGGATTTTTGGCTATTTTTGAGGAGGAATGCAGGGAAATAAAACATGTTTATTGGCTAAAGACAGGAACAAGTAGACAGAGAAAGATTAAATATAAACAAAAAAGGTTAGGTATTTGAAGGAATAAGTTCTTGAGAAAAGGAGAAAAATTAATTTTAGAATGTCATTTCTTTCTCTTAGATGGGAAGGAGATACAAGTTTAACAGTGTGGTTAAATTTTCATGGGGAGATAATTTAAAGGAGTTCACATCTAATATCCTATAGGTACTCTGAGAATTAGGTCAGATCATTTGCAGAGGTGATGGAACCTGAGCTATTTGGAGAATTAAAGAGAATGAAAGTCTAGAATAGCTGTTATTAAAAATGGAAATAAAACTACAAAGGAGAGGTAAAATATTTGACAGTTATGTACTCCTGTAAACACCTTATAAATAGTAGCTCATTTATTCATCACCTATGAGATATGATTGATTATTAGCCCCTTTTTGCAGGTGAGGAAAATGAGGCACAAAGTGGTCATGCCATTTTCCTATGGGTACCCAGCTAGTAAATGAAGGAGCCAGGAACTGAGCCTCGGTAGTCTTGCCCAAGTCCATGTCCTTAACCACTTCACAATGCTGAAGACAATCCTATATGACTTTATTTAGCAGGCTTAGGTACATAGGTGTTGAATTGCAAAATATAAAAAATTTAGATTCATCCAGGACTGGAGTTCAGAGGTTGAGTGTGATGGAAGTTGAGGGATTAGTTGATGACATAAACCATGGAATTCAGGCTAGATGGAAGCGGTAGGGCAGGAGGGAAGGAAGCAGCGTTTAGAAGGGCTCAGGGTCCTGACTATTTGCTATTTCCCTAAGGTTTTAGATTCCTTATGAATTCAAAGAGTTGGTTTGCTAACACTGAGGAAAAGGGATAGTTGAAAGGAGCAGGAATTCATATCAAGGTAGTATGATTGTGAAGCATAATTAAGAGAGGTCAGGAGATGCTGGATGACTAGGTAGCACTGGGGTATGGCACTCGGAGCAGATCACTTAAGTCCAAATGAATTAAAGGCTCTGCATCAGAGGAGATCAAGAAATGGTGAGTCTAGGGTGTTGGGTGGGGCATCACTATAAATATTGAAGTCACCTATGAATCACTCAAGATGAGACAGGAAGTAGGGTGGAGAAAACGGCTGCAGAAACCAGTGGATTTCAATGTGAGTTGGACGAGGGAATGAAAGATGGCGTAAGATGAGAGACCAGGCTGACATAATGAACAGACTCCAGGCAGGGGAGTCATCTAGGCCAAACTTTCTTGTAACTGTCTGCCCTGAGTGTGGTACGGAAGCCAGAAGTGCCCGTACCACTAAGATGCCTAAACTGGCAGCATTCCTGAAGAGCTTTTTAAAGGGGTTGAACTTTTGAAATGATCAAAGCCTTAAATTACCTCAGTGGTCCAACACATTAACAAAGTAAATAGTAACACAGATTAGTTTACCTAGCCCATAAAACCATTATCACTTGAGTACAAATAGGGCCCTGTGGATATGAATAAGTTTTAAAAGGTGGGAGAGTGGAAGGAGGAAGGGAACACAGGAAATGAAGCTGCGTTTGACCATGGGTAATGTGCACAACACAAAGGAGGAGCAAAGGACCAGCAGCCACAGAGAGAACCTCTACTCCATGCCCCAGGAATAATGTGGAAAAGGGGAAATGTACACATGAGCCATATTCTTGCCTCAGTCCAGAATACTCAATACCATTATTTTAATTATTTCAGATGCAGTGACATCAGCTTTCCCAGTTCTAGCACAGTGAAAAGCCTCAAACAAAAAATGAATTTTTGCAGGGAAAAAAACCCTATCGCTAAATCAGAAGGCAGGATAAATTTACATGCTATTGTAGAACTAACTAGATAATATTAGAGGAAATTATGTTATAGTCAACAACAAAAAAATCAGATTTGCTTTGCTGACTTATGTTGGTTACCTACCAAACCATCACGCCTCCACTTTCTTCCTTACCAACCGTATCCTTTTATACCACTGGATATTGGCATTTCCCCTTGATGCTAAGAGATATAGCAACGATCTGGTAACCATAAATGGAGGCAGCGGACAGAGGAAAACCAAGATGCTGATAAATTCCCCAGATTTAGGAAATAGTAATGCAGGGACCCAGTCAAATTTTAAATTTTAGATAACAAGTATTATTGCATGGGACATGCAATGTTTAACTAAAATTTAAATTTAGCTGGATGTCCTATATTCAGACAACCCTAGATAGGAAGACAAAATGGAAAGTTGGATAGATCCTAAGTCATTG